TTTAAAGCAAAAAACGGGCTTGAAAAGATTCCGTCATTATCAAATGGAAGAAAGTGAATTTATTCGGGATTCGAAATTTTTCTTGATAACTCATGATGAACTCGATCAACTCGTTTATATACTCGCAATTTTGTTGACGATCGCTCCGAAAATTGAGTATCAACTACAAATAAATACACTGGAACAAAACTGAGTCAAGTTTGTTCCTCACCTTCGCCAAACGTCGGATGGGTCAACAGCGCAGTCCCAGTCACGAAAACGAGAAGCACAGAACTCTCCATTCTCACTCCTTGATGTCAGGCTTCTATATTTATGTTCCAAGTAAAACACAAATGCTAAATGGCAGTAAGTTGATGTCTTAGCACCCGTCAGATCTGACCTAATAACTTTAATGAGATACAGAACATGTTTATTTTCATTTCCCGTTTTAATAATGTATGCAAAAAAAAAAGTTGTGGAAACATCAATCGATTTCCGAAAAAAATTCAATTCTACAATTGCCAAATTTACGGAATTGTGCTATTAATACCGAAAGCGAAGACAAATCCTTTAGGAAAGGTAAAAACCGACAGGCGAAAATATTTAGAGCGAGCAGAAATTTCTGAGACGGCCTCTCTGATATATATTTGACACTCATTATTCTCAATCAAGTTCTCCTCTGCTTTGTGAGGGAACTACCTCCAAAATTCCAACACCAATATCAGCTCCATGCATTTTTTTTTCTTCGTTATACCTTGATTTAGAATCACCTCGCTCGAATTAATTTTTAAGTAGGGTACTTATTTGAATTGATTTGAATTGCATACATTCCAAGAGTTTTTAGCGTTTGGCATATGTATTTAGTTATTAAGCTCTATTCTCTTGTTAACCATTTCTCTTGTTCCAGCGTCAGTTTTCCAAACTGTCGGTTAGATGAAAATGGCTTCTGGAACGAACTTCTCAATATAATTGATAATTTCGTCTTCTTTTGTTTTGAAGTTCAAGCTGTTCAAGTTCAAGTTGATTTTCTGGGATTTTTAATGTTCCAAGTAGTTTTTTATGAAGTATATTGATAAAGTTTAAGACTGTGTTAAAATTTTTTGTTATCCTTTCATAAACGTCAATAGTTCTTGAAAACTCATATTTTTAACTGGTTAAACTTCTGGAACTACCAAATAGTCCATAATCTCATACGCGTATAGAAAGAGTATTTTTACCATTATCTTCGTTGCTATTATTATCATTTTTATTACTCAACATTAACAATGTTATTTTTTTTTCTGACAAGCGGTGCATTGCGTGATTACTCACTTCCTTCGGCGGCATCGGAAGAGAATAATTGATAGGACGTTAAAAAGAAGTACCAATATTTTCATCCAAAAGAAAACAAATCAGAGAAAAATAGCTTAAAAAGTGATTCTGTACGCCTCTAATAAGACGGGGCAACTAAAAAAATGTAAATATTCTCTCGAAATATATAGACGAGATAAATTAAAACATTATTTTGCTTTGCATCGTCAATAAACTATTTGCATTGACAGGTGACTTCTCGGCTGTTATTGTTCACAAGTAAGGAACGATTCAGGATCAAATTTACCTTAACACTCTTAAAAAGACCGTCATTCTTTAGGAAACAAACAAAAGAGACCCTGCATTTTTTAGTGCAATTTAAATGTGGTATTATACAAAACTTTTGTTAGATTTTTATCGAATTACTCATTTAAAATGGTTGCGAATAGTAGTTTTTAGGCCTAAAACAAAAACATAATTTATCTATTTTTTTTTACAGGTAAAATCTCAAAGATAAAGTTAGGAAAAAGCAGACAATCTTCCGCGCTTCAGTCTGCTCGAGAACTCCTAACTATTTTGACAATTTTGGTAAATTCTAAGGACTGTTAAGTATTGATCATAATTATGCAGTGCATTTCGTGTAACTTGAAGGCTAGTTTTCCCGATGACTTCTTTTCGATTGGGATTAATTTCACGAAACTAATTTGCCCTCAAAGGGAAAAAGTCTGCAAGTTGTTTCCTGTGTATTTTCTTTTTCTTTTTGTTTTTTTCGTCTCATTCCTCCTCATGACAAATCAAGGAGTGGTTAGATCAGAAAAGCAGTCAGGACTCGTGGAAAACTTATATTTTGTTAGCAAACAATTGTAGTATTCATCTCCTGGGGATGTAAAAACAGTTTTGTTAACTTTGCAACGAATAAAGTTGCAACCGATTGCAAGAAAAATGCTAAAGGAAATATTAGCCTAAGATAGATTTTAAACAAATGCCAAAACGATACTCGAAGAAAAGAACGATATGTATTGACCCCATGCCTACCCCTCTTCGAGCGAGTATGCTTTTTTATGGATTCTTCTGGAAGTTCCTGAGACCACTTC